GCAGAAGTTCATTTTCTTGCTCCACTTGATCGCAATCTTCATCACCATCCGCCATGGCAACGTCCTGTGAATGCAGCAACGCTAGAGTGGTTATCCCTCTGCTCCCGTACAGTACCAACTACTGTACACTGTACGTCACAGAAATCCATATTCATTTCCAATGACAAGTTGCAAGTCCAGTCTAGTGCTGTTGCTCTGCTGTACTGTATTGCGCACTATATAGTATTGTCTTCCGCTCTTGCCGGTAATCATGGAGACCGCATCAGCCATCGCATCATCGAAAAATATGGATGGATGGATACTAAAAAAGGGAAAGAAGGAACTATTGCATATGTTTATTGAAGGTATAATACGATAAAAAGGCTGAGAGAGTATTCAAAAGTGGAAAGAAACTCGCTTTCAAGTGGAGAGATTCGGTCCAGTCTTAGGTATTCCATTTTTATACTGTACTCTATCGCATCATCGAAATATCGATGGATGGATACTAAAAAAGGGAAAGAAGGAACTATTGCATATGTTTATTGAAGGTATAATACGATAAAAAGGCTGAGAGAGTATTCAAAAGTGGAAAGAAACTCGCTTTCAAGTGGAGAGATTCGGTCCAGTCTTAGGTATTCCATTTTTATACTGTACTCTATCGCATCATCGAAGTATCGATGGATGGATACTAAAAAAGAGAAAGAAGGAACTATTGCATAAGTTTATTGAAGGTATAATACGATAAAAAGACTGAGAGAGTATTCAAAAGTGGAAAGAAACTCGCTTTTAAGTGAAGAGATTCGGTCCAGTCTTAGGTATTCCATTTTTGTACTGTACTCTATCGCATCATCGAAATATGGATGGATGGATACTAAAAAAGGGAAAGAAGGAACCATTGCATACAGTATGTTTATTGAAGGTATAATACCATAAAAAGACTGAGAGAGTATTCAAAGTGGAAAGAAACTCGCTTTCAAGTGGAGAGATTCGGTCCAGTCTTAGGTATTCCATTTTTGTACTGTACTCTATCGCATCATCGAAATATGGATGGATGGATACTAAAAAAGGGAAAGAAGGAACTATTGCATATGTTTATTGAAGGTATAGTACGATAAAAAGACTGAGAGAGTATTCAAAAGTGGAAAGAAACTCGCTTTCAAGTGGAGAGATTCGGTCCAGTCTTAGGTATTCCATTTTTGTACTGTACTCTATCGCATCATCGAAATATGGATGGATGGATACTAAAAAAGGGAAAGAAGGAACTATTGCATATGTTTATTGAAGGTATAGTACGATAAAAAGGCTGAGAGAGTATTCAAAAGTGGAAAGAAACTCGCTTTTAAGTGGAGAGATTCGGTCCAGTCTTAGGTATTCCATTTTTGTACTGTACTCTATCGCATCATCGAAATATGGATGGATGGATACTAAAAAAGGGAAAGAAGGAACTATTGCATATGTTTATTGAAGGTATAATACGATAAAAAGACTGAGAGAGTATTCAAAAGTGGAAAGAAACTCGCTTTCAAGTGGAGAGATTCGGTCCAGTCTTCGGTATTCCATTTTTGTACTGTACTCTATCGCATCATCGAAATATGGATGGATGGATACTAAAAAAGAGAAAGAAGGAAGTATTGCATATGTTTATTGAAGGTATAATACGATAAAAAGACTGAGAGAGTATTCAAAAGTGGAAAGAAACTCGCTTTCAAGTGGAGAGATTCGGTCCAGTCTTAGATATTCCATTTTTATACTGTACTCTATCGCATCATCGAAATATGGATGGATGGATACTAAAAAGGGAAAGAAGGAACTATTGCATATGTTTATTGAAGGTATAATACGATAAAAAGACTGAGAGAGTATTCAAAAGTGGAAAGAAACTCGCTTTCAAGTGGAGAGATTCGGTCCAGTCTTAGATATTCCATTTTTATACTGTACTCTATCGCATCATCGAAATATGGATGGATGGATACTAAAAAGGGAAAGAAGGAACTATTGCATATGTTTATTGAAGGTGTAGTACGATAAAAAGACTGAGAGAATATTCAAAAGTGGAAAGAAACTCGCTTTTAAGTGGAGAGATTCGGTCCAGTCTTAGGTATTCCATTTTTATACGTACTCGAGTTAAATATTGTATATATATAGCGAGTCAATGAATACCCCAAGATTTAAGAATAAATATCGCTATTAGCGAACAATCTGAGTAAATGAGAAAGGTTCTATCGAAGGAGAACTGAAAATAGGTCAGAAAGAGAAGAATCCTATCTTCAAAATGGAGTGGTGTGCTGGTTTGGCGATTCTTGAAGTACTACCATGGATTACTCGATATATAGCAACAGTATATCGAATAGTTCATGGCGCCACTTACTTATAAATAGAGTTGTTGATATCATATTATAGTATAATCTTGCAATGTCAAGGACGATTGTAGACGTTGCTTTTTTAATATATTGCAGGCATCAAGGCCTATGATGCAGCCCCCTAAATCAATAGTGAAGCATTTTGAAGCAGACCCTACATTTCTTGATGTATCGAGAAGGTAAATCGATTGAGAGCTAGAAACCATTTTACTCTGTCAATCATGAGGTGATGGCCGAATAGTTCAGAGTCAAGAATATCGTCACAGGAAGCCATGATGGAGTTTATCTTGCTGCATATCAACCGTCTAGCTTATTACAATTCCATGATATCGTCATTGCATAGACAGTAAAGTTTCAATACACAGTCCATTTATTGATCACATTACCTGCCACTAGGTGGGCTATTTCCTTTTATTACTTCATTATATGCATCTTAATTTTTAAACTAGTAAAATCAGATACTTGCTATACACTAGAAATGTACCTAATTGTTATAGGTTTCTCCGTCTAGGTAGAATTGACATATACAGTACAAGTACCGTAGCAAAATTGTACAAATTTGTGCCTTTAAAATGAAAGGCACAGAGTAAAATAAAAGAACAATTGCAATTTTTTCCACCACTTCTCACCTTATAGTTACAGCAATACATTAACCTTTGCAATACCTTATTAGTTACTCGATCAACCGTTATTGTAATTCACTAACTGTATAATATTTCAAGAAAGAAAACAATAATGAAATTTTAGGCTAAAGGGCCCAAGGTTATTGTCCTCGTACCTTTTTAAAATGGGATATTTTCATTCAGTGTTATCATCTACGCGTAACTCTTTCTCTGTTTGCATGCTTTGCTTTCTTACTAAGCAGCAAGAGCAATTATTACAATCACAGCGTTCAAAAAAATTCAATTCTATTTCAGAGCTTGCAGTAGCAAAAAAATTTTTGGGTATTATTTTAAATCTGTTGAGTAAAGAAAATCAAGAATGAAGCATTGCTAAATAATATTCATGGTGATATATATTTAAAATCATGAGTTGCCGTTTTGCATATCGATATTCCAGCCAATAACTTTGCGGTCAAAGCCTGCAGAAAATAGATTACAGGGCGCATTGTCATCTTCGCACCAAGCTGTACAACATACCATCCGTTTATGACCCTATGGGTAGAGATGATATAGAAAAACTACCTTAATACTACATAAGAAGATAAAGACGCAGTCAGATAATAGAAGCGTATCCTATTAAAAAGTATAGCATTAGAACATACTTGACCATTGCTGCGTGGAAGGCGAGCTATGCGATTGCCATTTAGGTCGTATAATCGTATATGACGATTATCGTGTGGAATAGCAATAACGTTATTTGAAACTGAAAGTCTATTGTAATAAAATAGAATGTATATTAGATGACATAGTACATTAAATAAAATTGATATCGCTAGCAGTGTGACATCAACAATTAATAAAGAGGCCATGATATCATAAAATGGTATATGTTCATTTGTAATAATGGAAGCTATTATTTTAACGTACTTATTAACAGCAGAATCTAATCTCATAGTTGCGGATGGTGATCGCATGTTTTTTAAATCCCATACCTATAAGGAGAGAAGACTATTTGTTACTTCTTTTGCTACTTACACTTGCGAAATACTTGCATATTCTTACAATACATAGAATAAAAGCAGCTAACTAGATACCTTAACTGTACGATCATCGCTGCCGCTAACAATTTTATCTTTGGCAAATACACAGGAAGTAACCGTGCTGTAAAGAAACAAATTAAAATATTAATTTAATCATATTGATAGTATAGGCCACTGGAATGTTCGAGAACTCAACTATGCGTAGTCATTGATAATTAAATTACATTAACAACACATACTTGGAATGGCCTGAAAAACATCACTGAATGAATAGAAGAG